AAGTATAGTAATTCATCTCTTGATGTACAGGAAGGAGTTAAAAAGAAGACAGAAAAGAAAAAACATAAAGGTGTCAGTACTGACAAACGACAATCTCAGGCAGAGGAGATGGAATCAGAAACGGTTAAGAAAGCTTCATCGTCAGCCTCAAAAGAAAGAACAGATGACAAAATCAAAGAAATTGCTGTAAATGAGGGTGACGTAGAATGTGAATCGTCTGATCGGTCTGCAGAATCGACAGTAACTGTAAGCAACTCTAAAGAAACAAATAAAATAGTGAAACTTGTAAGATTGGTAAACACCTTACATACCAAAAATATTAAACAAAGCAGAAAGAAGTCTAAATTTGGTTTATCACCAATTTATAGGTTATTAGCTGCAGAGTCAGATTTGAATAATACCGGGCACGCATGCCAAAGTTGCAGGAAGTGCAAACGGGATCCTGACGTTAGATATGGCAAGAGTGCCGACAATGTAAGTACAGACAGAATTAGCGTCATTAAAATTGAACCAGGCATAAAAATTAAACAAGAAAAAGAGGATGTTGACGGCATCGGCGCACACATTACGGACAAGCCGATATTAGCCGTGAAAGAAGAGTTACAAAGTGAGTTGAGCCCCGACTTTGCGGGCAGAACAGATGACAGCGTAGGTAATGTGGGAGGCCTTGATAAATCCATTAACAGCTTAACTTGTAAGGAAGAACAGGCTGGCGTGGGAAGTGATAGTGGAGAAAGTAGATATTCGGTTCTGAAAGAAGATGCGCTGACAGGTGGAATCGATAATAACGTAAATGGAAACGAGGAAACAGACGCTTACGAGGCATATTATAATATTTATGATGATAAATTTACTGTGAATGAAGAAATCCTTACAAGCACGCATGATTATCAGAATTATGGCCAATGGCATGCAGAAGATACAGAAAGTGTAAACTTAAAATTTGGAGAAAAACAAAACACTGATTATATGGGTGGCGCTGATCAACTTAATTCAGTCAGTACAGACAACTTTAAAACTGTGGATGTGCAGAAAACTACAAGTGTGAAAGAAACTAACGGATTAAATGTACGTACGGCATCGGAATATGGTCCGGCTGCACAGAACAACACGTGGAATGAGGAATGCGCAGACAATTTGCGTCAGCCATCTAAAATTAGGAATTACTCGTGTGATGTCAGAGGATCTACAACTGGCGAAGTCAATTTCATACATGTCGCGCCTTGGTAAGCAAACATTTCAAAAGTAACGATTCTGTTTTTGAGTGTGTATCATTTTTAAAACCAATTCAATTGTAGAGATGCAGGGATGTTTTCTTATGTGAAACTCCGGTGTATGCCCAATAATTTTTTATCTTTCAATGAATTTCTTGCTGTTGTGGAACAAAACTGTTCCTTCACCGTCGTTGCAAAACTTTACTTTCTGTTTCTTTGACATTTCCAGTAATAATCTTGGGAATGAGTGTTTTGTTTCCTAATTTATTTATCACCCATTTTTTTGTCATTGCACTTTTTAATATTAAATTACTTTGTTAGCTTGTAAATACCTTTATTAAAAAAGTACAAGGTGTGATAATTTATAACTTCAAAATGTACTTTGCCAGTGGCGAATGCGAAAGGCATTACTATGCTGTTGGAAGAATGCAGAGTTGTTGAATGTTAGAGTAAGCGGTACATAGTGTTACCGTTTTGCTACCAGTGATAATTGCGATGTAAAGAGAGTAACAATAAACAGTAACGAGGTCTTAATATTTTAGTTCGATAGTTAGAATTGTTATGTGACAATATTTCCTGAATTTAGTATTTTTCTGTTCTAGCATTGAAGTCTCTTGTTTTTCAGCAAAATGCTATGAAGTGGTTTTACAAAATAATCTTTTATTCTCTTTTTTCAGGTGTAGTAAAAAAATTATCGCAAGGATTCTAGGAGTACGCTCTCTAGATGTTTATGTTCAATATAATTTATATGGAAACATCCGCGTAACTGTAAAGTTTGATAATCTGAAGTTTCTTAAGGTAAATAGCATAATTAATACAATAACTTCTTCTGTTATCAGATAAATTATAATTTTTTGCGATGCTTTATCCTATCTGTCTTTCCATATTATGATCTCTGCAGTAAAGTCTTAAGTTCAGAGATAATGTATGTGGAACTCTTCAGTTTGCACTTTGCAGATTAATGACTGCTCTCTCTCTTTTTTTAAAAGAAAAAATAGAGCCCGTATCCTTTGCTAATTCATGACAGAACTCATGTATGGGAACTGGATAGGATTAACGGAGGTAATATGTACCAACACGAGAACCTAAACATACAGGACAAAATATCTCGTACAGATTGTGAACTTAATGAGTTTGGATGAGTCTGATTTTTTGTAAGATCTTCGTTTACGTAACAAATCATGTCACCTGTTGTACGTGGTGTGTTTCAGAAAATTCAAAATAATGCAAGCAAAATTCAGTGCGCTCGGTGGTTTATAACAAGAGGAAGCAAACGGTGGGCAGCGGCACATCCGCGCAGCGCTGGAGTTCATCATCGCCCAACGAATAGAAAATTTTATATAAATATCGGCACTAATGCGGTGGTTTAGTAAGAATGTATGTATGTATGTTTGTGTTTATTAATGTTGCTGATGTTTCCACACTTGCTTTTAGTCTCTGTCCATTCTGTGTCCTTCAACTTCACTGTCTGTGCCATTAAATCCATAATTCCCTTTATCCATCTGATTCTCTGCCATTTCTTTGACTTTCCTACTCCATATTGTTTTGTATCAGTATCATACAAAATGAAAGTTTTGTTTTCTCTAATTACGTGATGTGGGGATTTTGTCTTTTTTGATATTCCTGGCGATTATCTCCAAAAATTCACTTCCACTGCCAATAATTTTCTGTTTTTCCTGAAGTATATTTTTCAAGACAGTATTTCTAAGAGCCCCCCTCCCTGCCACAAAACAATTTATTATTGTTTCTTATAAAAATTATATCTTATTAGAGTTCTTGCAGCCAACATGGCGCTTTCATCACTGCCTTGTAAAAATGTAGAATGCAGATTTCCTGCTGCTTCCACAGCCACTCGTACATGACGCACACCATCCAGACATTTTTTGTGTCTTGAAGAGATGGAGGCAGCATGTTCTTCTGAAACACTGGTATACAAGCAGAAGACCACATTGTGAACTCGGTGCTGTGGTGGAAATCTCAGATGTGTATTTTCAGTATACACAACAGTAAACTTTACCAGACTACATGGCGTACAACCCAGAAGACGGCCGTCGTCGGACTCATCGCCGTGAAAACCTTGAATCCTACAAAAGTTATATCGTTGTTTAATTATTATTTCTCTGTATTGCTGACATGTTTTGACACTTGTATCACCTTGAATTTGTTCTTATTGTAAGTCGCTGTGTAAAGGCTGTTTGTATGTTGAATGTAAATGCAGTTATATTATCCCATTCCTCATGTGTCGCTTATAATGCGGAATTCCTAAAATAAACTGAAATAGTGCATCAATTATTTAAAAACATTTAAGATTAGATATTTGGGGTTTGAAGTGACCGCGCGGTCTGAGGGGTCTTGTGCCGCTTTGTCGCGATGACCGTGGGTTTGAATCCCACTCAAGCCATGGATGTTTTTCTGTGTTTTGCTGTCCTGTGAATAGGTAGAGGCCTTGCAACGGGCCGATCCCTCATCCAAGGAGTCCTACCGGGTGTCCATAGATCAAGCCAGCTAAAAGGTTGGGGACCCGTAAAGGGTACCGGAAAATGTACAAACATTGTTAAACTGGAAAAAGAAGAAGATTAGATACCTTAATTACGTTGTGGTTATATGTCTAAACATATTTTGTACTGTTTTGTTAGCAGTTGTAGTTGTGTGGTAAACGTCTGTGAAGTATTAGTAACTTCTACCAGAAGACGGGCATCTATATACTTGCTGCTGTGAGAACCTGAAATCTTACGTATATCCTTTTTCTTTGGGTACTTATAGATGTGTTCTTTGTGATGGCATGTTGGTGGTGTTATCCTATGTCTCTATTAATATAAAATTCTGTTTGCAGTAAATTAAAACTGCAGAACATGTGTAACATTTCACAATAAAACTTATTTTAATATAGCGATCTGTTAAGGTTATGTCTTCTCTGGGTGGCTGTGTACCACATGACATTTTCCTATTTGCTGCCATTAAGGTATGACTTGAAATAGTCTTGCTTGATCTATCTTTGTCCTTCCCCGTTTAGTTTAATGTATGTTTTCAGCGCAGTGATAATGTTACTAATATCTATAAGAATATTTTGTGCAGTAAAAGGGTATTACATTAGTAGTGGAAAAGGATCTGCATTTTTTATATTCGGCCTGAATTAAGACCAATTATTGCCTGGAGCAGCGTTAGCTTTGCAATGGAGATACATTTTGTTTTATTTGGGGTTTGAAGTTAAATTTTAGATGTTTCGTTGGCTGAGTATCTGCAGCAAGGGGTTCACGACAACTCCCTCTATTTCAATTAGTGTAGATTTGTTGTCAATAGATGGCGCAGAAATTGTCGTTTGTGTAAAACCTACGTGACCTTCAGTGAAAATAAGAACCAGTTTCTAAAGATGCGATTCAAGTTCCGATTTTAAAACATATTAGAATTATTCTTATTTTAAATATACGCGTATATATTTATAACACAAGGGCTTGTTTAATGCAAAAATAAGTGTTCATATATGATTTTAGAGTTGAATATGATTGTCGTAGTGTTGCCCCTCCTCACTGGCTTTTCAGATTTCGAAGCGACAGTTTGTAAATTTCCCTGTTGCTGTATAGTTGTTAGTGGCTGTATTGGTGATTATTATTTCAATGACGATTCGGCAAGATACGTACTGAGGTTTTTGATGTAATACGAAAACTAATATTTCAATTACGTACATTATTTTTGTATTGTGTAAAAATGAGTAAAAAGTGTGCGAGGTGTGAAAAAACAGTTTATCCTATTGAGGAATTAAAATGCCTAGACAAGGTGAGAATTCTATCTTTCAGACCATTTTCTTTTTAAATATGTGAATTAATTGCTACGCATTGTATATTCGTGGTTGTGTATATTACAGTTTATGTGTTCGCTAATGTCTGTGAAATTTGGTTTAACAGATTGTTAGGTTACGTACTTTCCAAGCTTTACATTTTATTTGATCTTAAGGGGTTCAAAGGTTTAAGGTTCTGTTTAAGTAGCCTTAGAGATACTATCTGTAAAGAGCATGCAGTTTTGAGGAATGTTTCCTTAAATATACTCCTGTAGTGAGCTAAATGTTGAAAACCGGCTTGTCCTTATCTTTGTGACAGAAAACCAGTCGAATCCCAATACACTCACAACTCCAGAAAAAGAATACTTTTTCAAAAGCCGAACGAGATGCACTTCAAGCCCTACAAAATGTTAAGGACATTGTAATGCTTACCTCAGATAGGGGCAACTCAGCAGTTGTACTGCTAAGTAAGGACTGTAACAAAGTAAAAACAGTACTCAGCTGGTATATACCAAGCTGACAGGGACCCAGCCAACAAACTAGAGAAACGAAGAAGTTCTCTCTTCAAGAAGTTGAACATCACAGAAGATGTCACTAAGAATTTGATACCTCATGCGTAGGCCCCACCTAGTCTAATCTGTATGGACTGTCAAAGATTCAGCTGCTTAGCCTCCCCCATGTATGCCTTGGCAAAGTAACTTGCAGGTCGTGGCCAATGTCTGTATGGAGAACATTGGACAGGAAGCCATAAGTTAGGCAACAAAGAAGCCAATTTTGTGGTATAGGTATGTGGATGACATGTTTGTGATGTGGTCGCACAGGAAGGATAAGCTACAAGAATTTCTGGAACACCTGAACGATATCCATGTGAACACCAAGTTTTGCTATGAAGATGGAACAAAGCACTTTAATTTTACCATTCTTGGCCATCCGGCTGAGCAGGAGACTGGATGGGTCACTTGGACATGCAATATTTAGGAAATTCATACATGTGGAGCTATACCTCCATGCCAAATCTGAACACCTTCTAGCACAAAAGCAGACTGTATTGAAGATGGCTGTCTTCTGTGTTGTTTTGACTTGTAGTATGGTTGAAGTTTACCTACGTTTCAGAGGTCCTTGCTACCTCCATCATAGGGGTGATGAGTGATTTTGGTCTGCAATATGCTGTCACAACGTCCAAGGACCTAAATGAAATATTGCTTGGTCATTATTTTTGTAGTTTGGTTAATTCTTGAATTCATGAAATTTGACATGGAAATTCTTGTATAAGCCCATGAAGAAATTGACCCAGAACAATGGATTTTGCAGTAGGCAATAAATAATTTGAAAATATATTTAAATGGAATACAGATGCGTGGTTATATTGTTGGTTGTCGTGTTCTACTCCCAGTTGCACAGCTGGTGAATATTCTAACTGCATAATTCAGATTATATGTGAACGACGAGAACCGAACTTTGTTTTTTCTGGATGAGGGATGTGTTTGTGCATGCATGTGCAAGCCATAACCTCAAATTGGAGTGCAGTGAACTGAGTTGCTGTGATTAGCAGAGTGTGGCTGACATGTTTATACATAAGATTCTTTTCAGATAACTTGACTTACAGGTAGTATAGTTAAGATTTGTGCTGGTCGATGGACATATCCTTGCATTCGTGCTTGAGAAACAAGGAGAAAACAATTATTTGAAGGCAGTGCTCAGATATTCAAACCAGTCAGTGTTGGTAGAGCAACAAGATCAGAGCTTCACCGAACCAGAACAAATAGTTTTATGTCCCCCAGTGAGAGACCAATAGTTGGAACAGGCAGATGGGTTTTTGCATGCCACTGAGTTTGCAGGTTGCAATTAAAAAGTAAAATTGTCCCACTATACACCATGTAGATGGTTGGGGGAGATGAGGTATAGCTCATACTCATACTTAACCTCGTCAGTGGGTGGGGGGTGAGTGGTTAGCGTCACGTTCTGGCCGCGCTTTACCTTGGGAATGGACCTCGATACCCATTTGATGGGAGGCTCGGTAGCCCCCAGAGCCGGTCTGGCTGCGGAAGCCAGAGGAAAAATCCTCTGTCCCCTCCGGGGATTGAACCCCAGTCCGTAGCGGGTCACGATGCTGACCGAGCCACCCCGGCTAACTCCATGTAATACCTGTACTGTTAATTATTTTTGTTAACAGCAAATGTATGCAAAGTGATGTCGCTAGTGTGAATTTTTTTGTTTGCAAAAAGATATCTATAAAAATTTAGGTACGACCCACACGACAAAGCATTGAAATCCTGTTATTGGTAAAAGCCAGCGTCGTTTTCTTATATAGGAATTACACTTTTACACTGATTGTACGCAAGGTCTTCTTGAGTGACGAAAATGGGGCCATGCTCTCATTGTGAGTGTCTTAGATTTTGAGCTCGGGACTTGACATGTGATTATGACGTTTTTTCAGATCTGGCACAAACAGTGTTTCAAATGTCAGGTGTGTAACATGACCCTGAATATGCGGAATTACAAAGGATTCAACAAGCAGCCATACTGTGAGGCGTGAGTATATCACTTGCAATTTTGACAAGTTCAGAACTTTTTAAATTTAAGCAATTTTGAATGTTCAGTTATTAATTTGATTCCTGCTTAACGTTTCCGAGCCAGTGGTAGAATACTGCATTCCGATACACAAATCCGGAATAGGGAAGAATTTACGCAGCGACGATTAGAATGAAGTACGTAATTATATTTAATTGAAATTCATTCAAGTGGAATATGAAATATGTAGGCTGGTAGGCTTGTCCTTCCCATTATATGTTAGTTTCATGCACGTACATGAAATGTTTACGCTTGAAAGTAGATTTTAAAATAAACCACATTGCACTGTGTACATAAAAGTGGTTTCAAAAATTCTGAATATTTTTGTTCTACTTCTGTGTTTGAAGTATAATGTCAATTTAAATATGGCTCCAATCTCTTCAACAGACACGCGTTGTCCTGACTCAGAGGTTTTCAAAGTGTGGGGTGCTCTCCCCTGGGGGATGTTGCTTGTATGAAAAACTTTCTTTAACGAAACATTTTTAACATCCTTTGCTTGGTTGAGGAAGTTTAGTTGTCTTATGGTGCTGTAAACTCATAGCTAAATTTTATGTCAAATCTGTTTGCTTACACGTGTTCTGGAAGGGGGGGGGCGTGAAATTTATGAAATGTTTTAAGGGGAGCGCAAAGTATAAAAGATTGAGAACCTCTGTCCTGACTTGAGAGTGTGATTCACATTTCATAGGTCCTTGCTGCCTCCATCATTGCCCTGATGATGGAGGCAGCAAGGTCCTTTTAAAAATTTTGTTTCTATGAACTATTTTAAAACCCAGATTGTTGGTTCATCATGCAGAACATAATATTTTGTCTGGTGGCGTGCTTTATTCCTACCTGATAGGTTAACCCACGGGACAGTTTACTCATTTTTCGTCGTGTATAGCCTAATCCTAGGAAAATATGCCACATATTTTTTTTTCGCTACATAAACTAGGATTTTGAGTGTTAAAATTAAGTGAGATATGGGGTTATCCTGGCAGTGAAGATGTCAGAGGTGGTACTCAAGGTCGTGATGCTGTGTGGTTTTGAAGTTGAAAATAAAGATGGTATGTGCCTTCAAAATATTGGTAACCACACGGGGTCACAACCCAGAAGATGGCCGTCAACATTAAAATTGACTTTTTCCAAAATCTTTAGTTTGTACTCGTCTGTGTTTCTTGTTCTTCTGTTTCAAAGGAACAGAGTTTCTGTGATGCTGTATCAAAAGCGTACATGTTCAATATGAGCCGTGGTGTGTACTTTCATTGGCAGATTAATGTGAAACTGTATGAATTGTTTGCCGTTGTAGGCCAACTTATCTTTGTACAGTTAATCTCGCTTTGATCAATAATGTGAACCTGTGAGATTAAAAAAACTTTTTTTAAAAAAAAAATTGAAACGAGTGTTGTGTTTATGTAAAATGTTTTGATTTGATACCTCATAAATTTTGTGGTGTCACATATTTTTTTTTATTTTGAATATGGCCCACAGTTTTGAAATCTCTTGACGTCTAGAACTTCAGAACTCTGTAATGAATTTATAAATAGAAGAGTTTCTTAGTAATATATATTTACTAGGGCAGAACGCTCCTTTCGGAGCTCCTCAGAGGGGTTGGTCAAGTTTTTAAAAAGCAACGAACCCCTTCGGGGGGGTTGGTTGCGTTTTAAAATCTTGAGTAAGACACTAAACTCGGCATTGTTGTGTTGTACTCGGCATTGTTGTGTTGTACTCGGCATTGTCGTGTTCCACAACAATGCCGAGTTTGTTTATACTCGGCATTGTTGATGACGTAATTTATTGACGACAACGAGGAATCACAAATTTTTATAATAGATTCTGTGATGGCCGGCAATGTAACAAATGTTTCGAGTGCTTCTTCGTCTTGAAGGAAGTCAGTAAATGGCATTTGAAGCTAAAACAGGCAAATGATTTCATACATCATCAGATGGGAGGTCTAGCAATTAGTGTTTGAGTTATTGCGTAGGAACTGGCAATGGCAGTGAACATTAGCCTTCATTAGTGCCACAATTGATGTGGACGTTGGCTCAGAATTTTAACGGAAGGGCAATGCACTGGTACCATCACATGAAATAACTTCTCAGCTTACTTACTAAAGTTTTATCTGCACTAGGAATATCTGTATCATAATATTAAATCACCGAATGGTGAGAAGGAGGAAATCGATCTCGATTATCAGCTGTGCAGAGTTATAACCAAGAATACTACTCTTTTGCATGGAAAATGGTGTTTTGTTCACATACTACGTTATACTTCTCTGCAATTTTCTTGTATTGCATTCTTAACCTTGGTACTGGGTGGAGGATAAAAGTCCCCGGTACCCATTGGACAGGAGGCTGGAGTCCCAGTACTGACAAAAAGATGTCCTTGCTCCAGTTTAGTGAAGGAAAAAGTTGCTGATTAATGCTTGTATTAGATCACGTTTGAACTGAGTCTGCCCGTCGAAATAGTTAAGCAAAGGTTCTTGTAGTCCCCTGAGTAATGTGGCCTCGTTGTCCTGGGAAACCCGACCTTGGAACCTACAGATGAACAGACATTAGCTTCAATGTGCCCGCGTAGTTCCAGGAGAGATGACTCTGCCTTCATGCTTTGATGCACAAGTTCCGAGTTCCTGCTTGCCTCTCTTTCATTTCGTGTCCAGTTAAATTCCGTTCTTTTCACTTGCGTGTTGGCTGAAGCCGTCTTAAAACTGTAAACGAGAACTTAACTTAGGCAACGGGTGATTTTCTTCGGTGATACGCCCTTTTCAAATCCTGTTGGCATAGTCTCTGGAAATAATCTACATTAACATTTTAATATATCGGGGTTAAATAATTAAAGGGGACGACGGAGAGATGAGAAATGCGTACAGAATTTTTTAGTCGAACAGTCTGAAGCGATGAGACCACAAAGTTGGATGAAATTTCAACAAGGATGTTGGTTGACTGGATTTATCTGGCTCGGGATTCTCAAGAAAGGACTCCCGCTCCTTGGGGATAATTGTTTTTGTGTTGTGTTTCAACATTGTATATATATAGTCTTGACGTGGAAACTTGTGAGCAAATCCGTAATGCCATTCCATGACCTACACTGCAATGACCAGTTTTGCGATGTGTCATTCAGGACATAGGATTATCACAAATGCCAGCGTCATTAAGTCAGTTGCATCACGCAACAAGGACGAAACAAGGTTGCATCTCAAAGAGAATATTAGCCTTATGAGCATCATTTTTTTTGGGGGGGGGGGAGGTAAGAATCTGGGACGTGATTCAGCTGACTTTTCGGAAGTCCCACGCCCCCTTAGTGTTTCGACTCTTGTCAGAATAGTTTGATAAAAATCAGTTCGTCACAGAGTGCAGTTGGTATTGCATGATGGAAGGACTGGTGGATAGGATCTCCGCTTGACGCTTTGAAGCACAGTGGTAACTATATGAACCACTTGCTATAATAATAAGTATGTATTTTGTCCACATTGTCTGAGTTTCGTGTTAGCCTCAGAGTAAATCAGTGATTATAGTATGTTCGTTACGTAAAGACCAGTCTTGCACTATTTAAATTGTTCATCGTGTGCGTTGTCTTTTTACCGTGAAGTTGGTGTTTTGTTCAAGGTATTTATGTGTCGTGACGTAGTGTGGGTCTTTGTCATTCGGACACGTCATCCCGATGAATTACTAATGTGTTCTGCAGCAAGAACATTTATTTTCGTATAATCCGTCAATGGAAGGCAATTCTGTGAGTAGACAGCAGTCCTCCACTTTCAGCCAACCTTCGTTCATCAGACCGCGATTGGCGATGTTTAGGATCCCGTCGGACTCAGTCCGTACCGCGAAGAAAACTCCGCACTTCACCATTACAAAGATAAGCTGGTTAACTCTCTGCAGCCGAAAGTCGTATAAATAATATATAATAATTCAGTCCGTACCGCGAAGAAAACACTATACTTCACCATTACAAATATTAACTACTTAACGCTGTTTAAGTATACATCTAAAGAGATTTGAGGTTCTCACGGCGATGAGTGTACGCTAACCCGGCTTCGTACTTCGGGTATCGCCTCGGTGAAACTCGATTCAAATATGGCTGTAACATTTTCGAAAACGTCGGTTCAGTCCAGCACAAAAAAAGGAAAGTCTATCATCAGGCCCCAGGTCTAAGACCGCGAGAACAACAGATGTTTAAATGGTGGAATGAACATCCGAAGAAGTTACCCGAATGAAATGCAATAAGGAGAATTTTGTTGGCAGCAATGTTAAAAGTGAATACCAGGATTGCTTGTTATGTTACATAACTGCTCCACCGTATGTAGGTCACTATACTTACCATAAATGTACATGTTTTGGAGTTCCACTCGAGTTAAGTAAGAGATGCATTATCTTGCTGAGACCCAAAGCGTTTTCAAGTCGGCAAGATCAGATTATTCTCTGATAAATAAGGCGGGTTTTTAGAAGCCTGATAACTTGTGAAGAAATCTGGAGTTTTTTAAACGTGGCGTTCTTTGCATAAAGTGCGTAAATGATGGATGGATGGAATATAAGGTCGTTCCTCCCGGCCTGGAGATGGACTATTCTGCCTGGGGCGTTGTTTTCCAGAAGAAATTTGAGGTTTCTACGGCGACGGATATGAAGACCGTCTTCTGGGTTTTAGCTCCGTGTAGTCAGGTTCGATGGTGGGGACAGTCAGTCTTTTTTTTTACCATACTTGGTCTTTTGGTGTTTTGCAGAATTTCCACCGGCACCTTTTGACCTCGTCTGTATTTTCGCCAGCTCTCGTAAGTTGGGTTAACTTCAGAGAAATCTTTTTGTTTCAAACGAAGTCAATTCATACAAAGGCCAAGTCAGAGTTGAACGCGTGTGGTTTTGTTGATGTTCCAGATGGCATATGACGCGTGTTAATCTTTGTATTGCGACACCAGTTCATAACTGCATATCAGCTTAATGTTAACGCCAACGTTCAGGATATTAAATTTATTGGAATATGACATGTTCAGA